CTATATTCTTCCCTCCTCTCCCCTCCCTCTCTCTCTCTCTTACAACACGTGGATTATTTTACATAATAGTAAAAAAATATATATATTTGTGTATATATATATGTGCGTGTATGTAATTGCTTGCATTCAAACACTGCATAATAGCATGATTAAAAAAAAATATATTGCAAAAAATCAGGATATAGCTATCATCTCAAGAAGTTGAATAATATGAAAATTAATTTAATGTTAATAATATTATAAAAGGTTTTTTTTATATGCAGCTATTTCCATATACTTATTAATTTTAGTTTACACATTACAAAAAATGTATAAATACCAATTAAAGTAATTTTTTATAAAAATGAATATGTATGATTCGAATAATGAGATGAGCAATTAAAAATGTTTGATTTTTATAAAAAAAAAACACTTATGAATGTTTGTCAATCGTAAAATTTGCATATAATATTAAAATACAGATTTTTCAGATTCATTGAACATTAATAGCCTTAATTACAACCGTTTATTATAGCGACTACTCTCCATATGGCGCGAGCAAATGTGAAAAGGCGGCATTCGGATTTGCCGCATTTTGAATCTGTGGCTAGAATATCGAGTCTTCCCATTGTGGAAAGCGGTATACATATCGCTGGTAATGTGTATAGAAAAATAAAGGTATGATTATAAATTGTAATGTAAATGTTTGCACATTACATCATTATAAAACTGATCATTTTCATCAACATTCAAATTAAATGCGACAGCCGCAGAAATTTTCTTTAATAAAAAATATAATTGCAAATAATATGCTAATAATATGAAATGAAACTTTATTTTAGTTTAATTATAATTTAACTGTTTAGCGTTCAAATTCTTTAATGAATTGGAGTTTGGATACGGCGGAACAATCATTAGCGATTGCAACGGCAACGGCAAGACCTGCCATTTTCGCACTTAATGGACCAATTACGACAATCGATCAATTACTATGCAAAGGTATCGACATCGTTGAGCAAAGAGTGCCGGCAGTGCATCTTCCCCCTCATGTTGTAAGTTTATAAATTTTTGAATAAGACAATATTGTATATCAAATTTATGAAAATATATATAAATATATAACAAATTTACATTTTATGTATATAATTACATGTACATATATTATTATACTTGATTATTATATTATCACATGTATACACATACGTAATTATAACAACATTTATTTACTTTTATTTATTAATAAGTAAAACTTGAACAAAAAGATGGCTAGTCATGATGGCTAGTCGAAATAATTATCCGTTTCATGTAAATTTAATAATCTTGATTGAATTATTGCGTGCAAGTTATTACAGTCTTATTTCATGTTTCACACTCAAGATATATTTGAACACGCGAGAGTATGTAAATAAGAAAATTGTGAAGCCAGTTCTAATGCGTGCCGGAAGTGTCAAGCAAATCGGTAGTCAAGCTGCCAACGCCGCCGCTGATAGACTGGACGGTGCGCTGACAGTTGCGGACAAGTACGTGGATCGTTATTTGCCGGGAGATCCAACTGACAAAGAAGGTAATAATACCATAAATAAATATCTAATAAATTTTAAATTTATAAAATTCCACGTTAATATGGATTACATTTATTTTATACTGTTGTACTTGTTCATATCACATAGAATCGAATAGTGCATAACGATAGCGGCCTATGGCCTATGTGACATTAATGAGCAATAAATATCATGTGCTTGACAATTCGTGTTTCAGAGGCCAACCCTGTTGAATCTGTAAGCAAAACGACACGTACAATCAAGCACGGCGCAAGATTCTCGCGAAAATTGCAAAAGAGATTGACGCGACGCACTTTGGTCGAAGCGCGTGCGCTGAAACAGCAAGGAACTGAATGCATTCACGTTCTTCTATACATCGTGGAATTGGTAAGTCAATATTCAATCAGTTTATTAGTTATAAGTTAACTGTTTATATATAGCTAAATTATATAAAAATTTCAAAAAGGGAAATTCAGATGTATTTCAGATTGTTTGTTGTAATCTTCATTATGTCACATTATATCGCAAAATTA